CTCTCTCGTGCGATTGTAACGCGAAATTCATACGCGAAATGTTTCAACGTTATGCAAAAATCAGTTAATCCGTCTTGAATACCATTAAAGCGCTCCGCGTTCCTCGTGTCTTTTTATCTGTCGAGAAGATGTTTTCGCGCGCGGACGAGTGACGGAGTGTCCGGACTCGATGAGTTTTGCCACGAGTGCGACCGGCTGCATATTGCAGGGCTGAGATAAAGGGCCCGCGACGTAGGGAACGCCTCGAACGCTCGAAGAATAGACGGAACGGGGGAGACACGCGAAATCGTCCTTAAGTAAGTAATCGTCGGCCCTACCGATGGTATTCGGAGAACGGAGAACGGGACGAGATGAGGTGCAAACGACGACGATGGAAAACCGAGGCATGCCGGGGCCGGGGACTCGATTAAATGATTAAACGAGCCCCGCGGCGCCATATTAAACTCGCCGTTATTCTCCCGTTCCTTCTCGGTAGTCATTTCAACCCTGCAACGACGACGACAGTCACCCTCTTCGCCGCAGCCGCGGCTTCTTCCATTTTTCCCTTCATTCTTCGTGCCTTATTCTTGCATCCCCTAACAATGTCATTGTCCATTATCGCGGCACAATCGCGAGGAAGAACAAAAACAGATTTCGATTATATACCGATTGCAATGAATTCTGATGAACCGGTTTTCTTTTCTGAGGCAGGCAAGAGGAAGGGCGTAAAAGACGGTCCTTCATAAATCTCTCTCGAAAGCGCTATATCGCTCCGTCTGCACCGGGGCGGGAGTCGGGAGTCGGGAGTATATCTCGAGAGGAATATGCCCGATTCTTGGAATACGTTATCCAAGTGCTTTTAAATAGGAAAAATAATATGAATATGGTGAGCGAATGCGCGATATAAAATCTAGATGATATTTCGCGAGAAAGAAACTCGGGATGAAGTAACGCGCGCGGTAACGTTTCACCGCGCGGTATAAAAATATCAATAATTTAAGTTAATTAAACAGCTAATATATCCTACGTATATTTTGATGAATATTTTAATTTTACATTCTTCGTGTGTCACTGCTTGATTGTATCACCAATAATATATCATTATTATGTACACAGGATTGATGTGATTTTATTACAGTATAATAATCCTGCAATGAAATATTCATCGTATAAAATTCCGCGATACATAATTTCATTTCGTTTGTGCGCGCGGACTGGGAAAACATGGTCGCGAGCTGGATTTTAAACGACCTGGAAATAAAATGTCTCGAACAGCCTTTTGAAATAATTACGCGGATGGTCGCGGGTTACGACGCAGCAACGCGCTATCAGCGACGAGCACATGGATTTTCAGTCCCGGCGGGGGGGGGCTCGATTAGATCATTTAGATCGTTTTAACGCCAACGGAAGAAGCGGCCCCGGCCTTTTGCCGAGGTTTTGGATATAGCCGTTGAAGCGTCGCGGCCGAGATGCATTTGCATTTAAACGAGAATTCACCGGCAGTATACCGGCACAGCAACGCCGAAACGCGCCATTTTTATTATTATACCAATTAGGTCGTCACGTTGCGCGTACTACAAATTTCCACCGGTTTATTTTCTTCTCTTTTTTTTAGAGAGAGAGAGAGAGAGAGAGAGAGAGAGAGAGAGATATGCAACCGCCGGATGTAGCTACCGCGGCTCCTCGTCTTTGTGCAGATCACCTGCAAGATCAACAGCGCGACGCACGCCATCAGGATCCTGCGGTGATCGAATTTCGGAGGGGCCTGCCCATCTTTTTTCAGAGCCATCAGTTCGGTGAGTTCGGCCCTTTCGCAGGCAGCACTCGGACCTCGCGATTAAATGGCCCCGTGAAACGTTTTTTTTTTCTCTCCAACATCGAACGAGAGTCGTCTCATACAGTGGGATTGAAAGGCGCCCTCCCCGCTCCCTCCTCCTCCTCCACCCGTTCCTCTCGCCGTTGTTCGACACGCAGTTATCCGTATTTTATGGAATGGCTCTCTTCGACGACCCTCGCTTTTCCCCTCGCTTTCATAAATCATTTACGTCGCAAAGGCAACGCGCTTGACGTTCGATTGCAATTTTCGCGTATAGCACTGCCGTTAAGTCGATTTATCCGCTCGTTAAAAACGGCAGAGCAGAGAAGCGGAGAATAATTAACGAACGATAATACGATTCATTGATTAAGATTGCCGCGTCGACGTTAACGTTAACGTTATGACGACGTTCGTGAAATAATAAGAAGAATCCCGATTGAGTCCGAACCGTTTTGTTCGCGTCTCACCGTCGCGCGCTTCGTGGCACTCGAGAATCGAGATTCCCCCCGATTGCCATTTGAAACGTTTCCAGTTTTCAATATCAAATCGATCTCGGCGGGTGTAATTGCCAATCTCCGTCGCCCAGTTAGCGGAAGACGGGGGACACGTCCTGTTCCGGAAGGCTCGGTTCGCGGGGCGGCCGATCGAAGATGCGTCCGTCGCCGTGCCACCGAGATTTAACAACACCCGGGCCCTTCCGGCTCGGTGACGTTTGACAGCTCGTTAGCTCGTTTCCCTGACGAGGGAAATCGCGGTCATGGCTGTCCATTGTTCTCGTTGGACTTCGTTCGACGGACGCGCGATTTTCTACGATTTTCATATTCCGAGAGCCGATTTTCTCTTTCTCTCTCTCTCTTTCTCTTTCTCTTCTCCTTTTCACCTCCCGTCATTTGTGTCTGGTGGTACAGAAAACGAGTATCTCCTTTGTGGGATGTTCCAGGATGTTCTGGCGGATTGCCAGGATTAATTATGGTATTCAGATGGCCCGCTCGCGGACTATTATGCCTAGTTCTAGCTCAGTTTTCAATTTGCAACGCGTATCGACGTCCTCGAGAATCTTTTTCCGCTCTCACCTCATGAAATTTCAAATATGCGCGTGAATGAATTATAAACTCCTGGCGGAATTTATCTCGGAGGAAGGAAAATTTAGTTGAAACAATGTTTGAATTATCGAATCAGTGTCGAAATTAATAAATGGAAATTAACCAAGAACTAATTGATTCTGATTGATATCGTCTGTAGGCACTTATTATTTATAAAAATTATTATCTTTTCAGATTTATAAATATATTGTTTAATATATTTAAAAAGAATTTTTTCATTTATAAAATTTCGAGGAAGAGAGCGTAGAAGCTTTTAGAGATATAATAATTCTGTTATCCTATTATTTTCGAGATATGGCATTATTAAATGAAAATCAACCCTTTTCTCTGGTTAATAAAATTTGCAACCGCGGTCAAGGAAATCCAACCGTAAATTTTCAACAATAAAATTTGTTACGGTGTACATATTCGATATGGGATATGCATATATTTTTTTAGGGATTCGCATTCAAATCAACTTGGAAGTGCGATAACATTTACGGGCGCGTTTTATTTAATGTATGACGTTATAAAAATATATGGAAATATTTGAAAAAACACCGTACTCACGGGGCTGTAACGCATTATAGCTAAACCATGACGGACAACCGCGATGCATTTACAGCTCATCCATAATCGAATTCCACGTATGGACGCAAACGAATAATTATGTACATGTTTAACGGAATCGTCCATGTTTTATGTAGCCATATTAAGGTAGTATGCTAATATTGCGGGCGTTTTTCTCAGCACGAATGTACGCGCGTTAATAAAATCGACTACGACTCGTTGCATATTGATCTTTCTGGCCGCGACTATTATTATCATTTTTTTCCCCAGAAAGGGTGATAGCGCGGAGCTGACGGAGATAAATCTCGAAAGCGAGATAAACGACGGCGTAGCGAGTGCGTGGCAACGAGGAGAACAGGCATCGGTATTCCGATAGCCGTCCAAAGCAGAAGGCAGGTGTTCGTCGGAGGCAGCTGCAATCACGACCACCATCTGCTGCGGTAATACACGCCCGTTCGGAGTCTTGCAAGCGAGGTAAGAGGCCCCGAGAGCCCTGCCAATTAGGCCCAGCCGAAACACGTGCCTCGGATGAGCTGATTTCGAGAAGAGACGTGATTCTCCTTGAAAAACCGTCGGCGCTCTCTCTCTCCTTCTCTCTCTCCGCTGCGTTTTTTCTCTTTCCTCTTCCTTTCTTCCTTTTTCCACTGCCTTCCAATTTTTTTTCTTGCTATTCTTGCTTGGCTGCGCGCACACCCGCCGCACCTTCGCGTCATCTTTCAACAACAACTTGTTGAGCAACAGTTGGTCGGCACGAGACAAGGAATATGCGCGGGTACCGATTAAAATAAGAACAAAAGGGGATAAACTTGGCTCGCGAATAGCCCCACCGCGCAAAGATTGCAAGTTACTATCATTAGGAAGAAATTCGCTTGTCTACTGTTGGAAGTTACTCCAGAATTTTGTTCTATCGCAAATTTATATTTTTGGAATATATAAAATTTATATAAAAATTTTTATTGCGACCGAATGTAATATATAATACGACATAACTTTATTAAATGCCTCGTAAAAATCTATATCTTTTTTTATATGAGAGTTTTATATAAACTTTACAATTTATATAAGTTGTTAAACAAATTAGTTTTTATAAACTAATGCTGTTTCTCAAGTAATGGTTCATGGTTGAAATAATTTTTTATGTAGTAACAGTATAGCGACTAAAAATAAAACTTAACGGTACAAGATACTACAAGTGACATCTTGTGGCAAGCATACAACTTTCTAGTAGGAAATATTGAAAAAGAAAAATTGATAAAAAGAGAAGAATTTTTATATAAATTTTATATCCGCGCGCGCGTTTGTATTTTAGAAATAAACATTGCTACCTCCAAAATATCACTAGAATAAAAAACGTACAATTATTTAATTCATTAATGCATCAAGATTTAAAAAACTCCATTACTCTCGTCTATAAAAAAAGAAAAAGAAAAAAGTGTAAATGTATAGATTGCATAATTAATCATTTATACTAAATATATATTTAGGTTTTACTAACTTTAACATATATTTCTTTTTTAAGTAGGAAAGAGGGAAATCAGAACACCGACAAAAAATACTTTTCCCAATATTTTAATGTAAAAACTAAAAATTTGAGCACCTATACATTATCTATCTTAAATGAAATATAGAAACAAAAAAAAATACATCGTAAAAATACAATACTGTATTTTTTTAGCCATCAGTGAATTGGTGCTGCCGCCTATACCGTTATTACAGAACTCGTGTCACAATACCACAGCAATTCGATATTGAACGAGGAAAATAAAACGGAAAAAAAATTATCAATTAGACAGAAAATCTTTTACAGAAACCTTCGGTCTATTATTTGTTTGATAATAAAGGAATAATTTATGTAATTTGTTGAAATCAAATAGAATTGGGATTAACAAGAAACGAAATCTAAGGCTGGTATTCATAGTCAGATCTTATATATAAGATCGTCTTAAGTTCATCTTTAAATACTCCGTAGCCAATGAAACGAGTTGTCAGTTGTCAGCATCTAAAGATAAACTTAAGACGATCTTAAATATAAGATCTGACTATGAATATCGGCTTAAGTGTATGAATATAATTTTATTTTAATAGCGACCAGATCGGCCATCCCTGCCCTTCTCGTCTCTTCCCTTGCGCCGATCTTTAGATCTGGATCTTCTATCCCTGGATCGGGACTTCCTCCTGCGGTCGCGACCTCGCGATCTCGATCGTGACCTCGATCGACCCTTGCCCTTCTTACGGCTGTACAAGTACCGGCGGAGCTCCCGGGATATCGGCTTCAAGTGCATGAAGTTACAAAATCCAGAGCGCGTGCACTCGCTAAACGCACACAATTTCGCGTATACAATTTCGTGCCTATTTATTTATGCGCTGTGTAAATCGCGCTTAAGCTCACAAATTTACCCCATTTCATACTGGCGACAGCATGCCTCGCGGAAATCGGTGACGGGCGAGAGCTCGGCGTAAACCGGCCTGCCGCCGAACCAACGATTGTTCAGATCGTTGACCGCCCTCTCCGCATCTTCCTCCCTGCGGAACTTAATGTAAACGTTTCCGACCAGGTGATCGCCGAGATTGTCGCACACGTTCATCTCTTCGATCTCGCCGTACTTGTCCTCGCACTCGATGAAAACGTCCTCGAAAAAATTGTCATAATGCTCCTGCATCTCCTCGTCGGATACGTTCGCAACCACTGTCGTGTAAAATATATATGTATACGTTCCAAACTGCGTAACGCTCTTCTTGTACAGTACTTGATACTCTTATTAAGGCTCAATACTTACAATGAGATCCATCTGCGCTTTTCGCAGAATTCTGAGGGTTTACGTAAAGATTCTGCAGTAGACACGTCTGAAGAACACAGACTTGCGTAAACGATACAATCACATAATAATAAACTTAGGTTTATTACTTTCTTCGGTCCATTTGGACCGTAGTTTTTTTTAGTTAATTTATGTTGAAATATAATACGTACATTTTTTAGACAAAAGTACTGGTATATAAATCCTAATATATTTTAAAATAATGTTGAAAAATTACCAGAGTCGCGGCAGAAAAACATATTTAGTCGAAAAATTTCAATATATGTCGTTTTATACGTCGATAAGATGTATTTTATACGTCGATTAGAATATAAACATTGCGATATGCAAATTATTATGCAAAAAAGATCAGGAAGTATCTTACCTGACTAAAAGTCGGCTTGTTGTGAATTCGCGAGCATCGATCTCCGTGTCGACAGGCGCCTATCTTGAAATAAAACGAGCAATTGACTCTGAAAGTGAAAAAAATAAGCTTACATAACCTATTTCGTACAAAGCAACGGTGTAAAACATGATCCGGCTGGCGCTTACTTGTCCTTTTCGGTGCCGAAAATTGACGCCAGATATTCGGCCATGATCCGAAGATCCTCTGACTCGCGAGCGTGTCACGATTATTCAGAGGATAGAAAACGGAGCTTTTCGTTTTTAAAAATCCGGCAATATACTGAGTAGTGAGTACAACCGCAATACGACCGCGACTACGAACTACGATGTACGAATACATCGAGATCACTGTTTTACCAACGGGGCATTTGTCAATAAACAGTAAATTATTTGTAACCGGGCACTTAGGATTCTTACACCTCAGTATCGAAAACATTAAACTTACGTTACAGTAATTTTTATGTGCTTTTTTTGTTTTTTAAATATTTTTTTTGGTTTCTCCTTACTTATTTTCAAAAAAATGTTAATGACTTTTAATTTAGGATGTAAAAATTATCCTAGGTAATATGCAATAAAAAATCAGGCGCCTGTTCCCAGGTTAATAATTTAATTTATACAATATTACTTACCTTTTGCTCAATTGAAATAAAGTATATTATTATCTATTATTATTATTATTATTATTATTATTATATACATAATTAATTGTAATTAATTATCACTTTTCTATAAATTAATAGTGTGTTAATAAGATAAAAAGGTGTTATTAAAGTTAAGAAAATGACTATTTGAATTTTTTATATTTTATTCTAACAAAATAATTTTACATTACATTTCAACATCCGCAGAAGATTAAAAAACTTTTACAAATACAACGTTGACAAAAATATTTTAATTAAATATTAATTGCACAATTAATATTTAATAAAATCTTAATTATCAGCTTCTTAAATTAATTCCTTACTTAAACTCGCAATAATCGTCATTAAATTTGTAATTCTTTCTTATTAGATTTTCTTCAAAATTTATTGTCATTATTGTCTAATCTCTATAATAATTATGAATGTCTTGATCTTGCCGGTATCACACCACTGTTTTCCAATTGTTGTTTTAGACGGAATTTCTGAATTTTCCCAGTGGCGGTCTTTGGATATTTATCAACGAATTCTACATAACGCGGTATTTTAAAATGTGCTATTTTGCCTCTACAATAATCCGTCAGCTCATTCTTCGTCATCGTCGCACCGTCGCGAAGTTGAATACATGCACAAACCTCTTCTCCGAAGACCTCGTCATATGCTCCTATAACTTGCGCCTGCATTACTTTAGGATGGGTCACCAGGAAATCCTCGATTTCCTGCAAAAAAAAAGCAAAATGAGTGGACTCTTATAAAATAATAAAATTAAATCTCCAAAAATTTTGTATACGTTAATTCACTCTGTTTCGATAAAGCAAGGTTCAAAATCATGTTTATATATACGCAATTTATTTGGAATAATTATATCATTTATAGTAACAAGAGATCAATTTTTTTTTAATTTAATACAATATTTAGATATTTTTTAAAAAGAATCTCTAAAATATGTCATCTAATTTTTTTAGTATTTTTAAATTCGTTTTTTTCTCTTCTACGTATCGAAAAATAAAATATATTACATAGCGAGTGCGATACAGGTCATATACCGAGCTAATTTTTTTAGTATTTTTAAATTCGTTTTTTTCTCTTCTACGTATCGAAAAATAAAATATATTACATAGCGAGTGCGATACAGGTCATATACCGAGCTCACCTTAGGGAAAATATTTTCTCCTCCCCGAATAAGCATATCTTTGAGTCGTCCGACTATAGTAGCGTATCCGTTTTCCTGCAAGACAAATTGATCGCCCGTTTTCAACCAGCCGTCCTCCGTCAAAGTTTTCTTCGTGTTTTCTTCGTCGTCCCAGTAACGCAACATATTGCAGTACCCGCGAATCCAAAGTTCGCCAGGCTCTCCAAAACGGACGGGTAAACCGTTTTGATCGACGATCTAACACGTCAAAAAATACGCGCATAACAAAACTTTGAAAATCAAAACTGGAAGAAGCTATTTCCTAGAAATAAAAGATTGACGTATACCATTGCTTCGACATGATTCGCCAAATGACCCACGGTGTTCTCCGTAAGGTGCCTATCCTCTCCACGAATCGATTGAAATACTATAGCTGTGGTTTCTGTAAGGCCGTATATACTCTGTAATTGAAAGTTTATCTAATACAGGGATTTATATAAGTATTTAAATAAGAGTATCTAAATATATACATTATACATTATACATATATGTAAAATGTATACATATATAATACAATTATTAAAATTGTCTTCTAAAAAAAACGCCGTGATCATAACGATTGTGATAATAATTGTTCAATGTGAAGAGCTATGGCTTTGATTGAATTTACCATCATATCATTGAAGCCAAGCAAGCTTCGAATTCGTTTGAAGAGTTCAGAAGACGCGGGTGCACCACCGGTAATTCCTGCCTGAAGATTGCCCATCGGTAGCTGCAATCGTTGCTGTGCCTCAATTAAGTTCACCTAGTGAAATCATACATGAATGAAACTAAATGCGAATATAAATTTCTGAAAAGAAAATGGGGACATAGGTAAAGAAAAAAATTTTTTAATGCCATTACATAGAATTTGCAGCAACTGGTGACTGAATAAGTAAACCACGCAAAACAATTTTTTTTCTGTTTGTCGGACAGTTTTTGAGAAAAATAGTTTTGAAAATGAAAACAGCGTGTGTCTATATGTACCTATAAAATATTGAACGTGTATAAACATGGATAGAGTTTCTCATAACAATTAGCAAACATTACCGTCATTAAGTTCTAACCGGAAGCAACAAGCATGTCAAAGTGTTTGCAATTGCTTCAAGAGAGATCAGTTAAAATTATTAGCTACAACAATCTCAATAGCACGTAATGATTTTATATTATAAAACGTTGATATAAATCAATTATGACGTTACTGCCACGTGCCATCACTAGTTAATCATTTTAATCAATGTTTTGATTAATAAGATATAGAAATCGTAAGTACATTGATAAATTGATATTAAAACGGTAAAACTAACTAGTCAAATCATTAACAAGTTATTAACAAGTCAAGTCATTTTGAATAGTCATTTTTAATTAGATTATTGTCAAGATTAATGTAACATTTAAAATCCTTTTTTCTAGAAAACTATACAACCAATTAAAAAAAAAATTTATATTGTTTACTTATTTTTTGTACAAAAAAATTAGTTTTAGCTAATTTTACCATAAATTACTAGAATTTGTAAGTTTAAACATTTTATATAGACAATTGTATATGTATACGTTTTATTCTTTTAAATAATAACAATAGTGATGAATGATAAAGATAGTGATAAATAAAGTTTTATAGTTTCGCAATGATAATGAAAGTTGTCAGGCAAAAAATGGAGAGATAATTTTACTTATCAGCGTGACATGGATATATCGAAAATAAAATTCAAAAAGAAAATACCGCTTTGCGAGACTAATATAACAAGGCTTAGTTTAGTAGGATTTATTCATGAATCACATAAGTTTTATCGATTTGAAATTCCGCTCTGCAAGCATGACTAGCGATTGCTTATCGCGTACTCGTACGGCTCCCGACTAACTATCGAGACTATTAACAATTAGCCAATAATACATCGTTAGAAGTGTTTGTCATATTTAAATACATTAATTGTATACAATCTCTGTAACGGCATCTTATCGTGAAATATGTCACTTCTAACTATATCAAACGGAAATTTTCAAACAATCTAGCATGCATCTGTTTCGTCCTTGCTTACCCACATAGTTGGCGTTCCATACGTTATAGCACACTTTTCTTGCGCTATCGCTTCCAAGGTTTTTACCGGATTAAAGGAGCGTTCTTCCATGACGAGGGTACTCCCCGTATGGAAGGTGAGCAATTCGCCCATTATCGTGCCGAACGCGTGAAAGAGAGGCATGTTTAAACATATTTTGTTCTCGATAGTTATCTTCGCCCTTAGCGAAGCCTGCCAACAGAAAAATCAAACTCTAAGATATAAAATACAACATACTTGTATAACATACTTAACTTAGGTCATCCGTGAAGATAAAGAAATTTTATTAATCAGATAAATCACTTTAGATCATTATCCTCTGCTGCTTATCTTATGAGTTGAGAGAACAGAGTTATTATAAATAATTTTTAATTATTTAATTAATAATTAGAACGGAACATTCATGGTGCAGTTGTTTAATGTTTGTAGGTCTCACCTCTTTGCTGTTGGTTACGAGACTCCTGTGCGAGATGAGCGTGGCTTTGGGCCTACCGGTAGAACCAGATGTGAACTGTATGTTGCATCCGTCATAGCATGATATCTTGTCCTGCTCGGCGGCGATCGCATCCATTTCCGCTCTCGTTGCCGAAATTTCGACGTCGGCGAAACGGTGCGTACCGCTATAAATTAAACGCGCTAATATCGTTTACATTCCCTCAATGACACGATGTTTGCGAACGTGATCAAATGGATAGACCTTCACCGAAGCTATTAACCTAATTGGACCATGATTCTTCCATACGGCACGGTTATTAATCAAATCGGTTGATTGGTAAAAGTTGGAGGGCTACGCCAAAAGGAAACACGCGATACGCGCGAGATTTCACATTCATGTGCAACGATGAGACATACGGGAGAACGCATGACGAAAATAATAAAAAAATAAAAACAGTTTCGAAGAAACAATATTCGATGAGATTGCTGAATGTTTTCTTCGGCATCGAAACAGTTTCGTTTTAAACCGTCACCCTTCTCCAGTATTACGAGTCGTTCAATCTTCGTCTTTTTTTGCGACCTCAGATCGATACGCTATTCTCTCTCTCTCTCTCTCTCATGTCATGAAACAGAACTTATACCTTATACCTTGGCCATTTACCAAGAAGTATATTCAAAGTGTTGACATTTTGATAGTTATCTACTGTAATATACGCACAATATAATTTTCTATTCATATATGAAGATATATGTATTTAAAAAAACTCTATAATTATTACATATCCCACACAGCACACTTTATCTGAGGGACGTCCTACAGATAAAGTGGGATATCTCAATAACCGGTGGATATCCAGTAGATATTTAATATCCGGTGGATATCCAGCGGATGCACAAATGTCCCTCAAAATATCCTGTGCTGTGTGGGATAGATTAAAAATGCAGCTAAACTTTATTTTTAATTTTATACTTAATGTATTTTAAATATAAGAAAAAGAATTTATTCTTAAAGTTCGAAGATTTACTTGTAGTTTAAACAAAAAAGGATTAATACGGACCAATTTTTAAATTCTAATAAACATAGGCTGTGCACACACATAGAAATATTTACGAAAATAAAAGTGCATAAGACGTTTTGATATACAATAATCTCGTGTTCTTAATCCATTTCGCAAAATCGAGCAAAAGATTTCTGTCAGTCAAAGTGCGAGGACTCACGCGATATTCACGGTTCAGTGAAGCGATCGCGTTCTAGTGTGTGCACATATTAAAAGCTCACGAAAGATCGTGTGCGCGCGCTCAAGTCCACAGTCATTAAAAAAAAAAGTCAATTATACCAAAAGCAATAATCGCGTCATTTAAATGTCCTATTAACATTTTTTTAAATTAGTTATTTTTAAAGAAACGGCTATTAACGAAGGCAGGAAGTAATATTCTTTTTTAAAAGATTACGTCTCGCAAGATTGGAAATTATTTCTAAGCAAAAACTTAAAGATATGATAATCTTAATTTTAAAGTGTATTGCGCTGCACATATGCCGGTATGATAAATATAATACTATTATGATAACATTAATTGGAGTCTCTTACGTCACGTGATCCGGGGAATAAATGATAATATTTTCCAAAGTAGGGCACATTTTCTTTGCGGCGAGCAACATCTTTGGATAATTCTGCGTTTTAAATTTGTCGGGTGAAACAATCGCCTTTACGCCAACTTTTTGCAGACAATACTCTAATTCGTTTTGCTGGTAAGCGGGGTTAATTGCGACGACGATTAATCCCGCCCTCGATGCACTCAGGGACGTTATGAGCCATTCTAGATCATTCGGACCCCAAAGGCCCAGCCGATCGCCCTTTTTCAAGCCTAGCTTCTTCAGACCCGCAGCAAACGAGTCGACTCGTCGAAGAAGCTGGGTGAAGGTTAAACGAACATTTTGAGGAATCGAAACAACGCAAGTCCGTTCGGGCCATGTTGCAACTGCCTCGCTTAATAATTGTCCGATAGTTTTGTCCATTACAGGAAATTCGCCGGGATTATACATATGAGCCGCTTTGATTGCATGAGAAAAATTGACCCTCGTTTGGATATTTGATCTTCGAAGCTGACGTCGTTCTGCAACAATTAATTTGCAATATGATTTAAGTTTTATTATATATCTAGAGAGCTTTATTCTTATCTAGTCACGTATTTGTATTTTTATTTGAAATTGGTTTCATAGCGTCTCAAATCTTATGATGACTAAACGTTCCATATTAAGTAAAATGCTGTTAAAATAATGTTAATAAAACGCTAATGGCAATTTACCAATGTGGTCGATAGAATAATATCGTTATCTATTAAAGTAAGAAGTAGATATTATAATTCGTAATTTTTTGCAATTGCTAATATCTCTACACTAATACTGATATTATCGAAAATTATTGCTAATACAGATAAAATAGTTATGGAAACTATCTATCGATTCAACGCCTTTTAATGTAATAATATAATTCAAAGAATATTGTAATAGAATAGTCAGATGCATATACATATATTTCTTTCCAAATGTTTATATTGCTTTCACTTCAATACCTCCGCTCATGATCTTTGATAGGGATCGTTTGTTAATAATTAATAATAATTAAAATAAACATCAGAAGTAAATAATACATACAATGTTTTTCAAAGTTATTTGAGCTCGAAAACAATGTAAAAAAACACTCTATGGTTTTTTTACGCAAATTTGCGTCATTAATAATATAATTTTTTTAATTGCATTATGCGACAGTAAAATTTTTAAGAGCATCGTAAATTTAACGCATTTTAAGATAACACTATCGTGCTATTAGTATTAACAATACGAACAGAAAAAAATTTAATTGCAAATACACAATATTATTTGTTTTAAAAATTCCCATACAATAATTTGTAATTATTATATTTGATACATAAAATCTGATTTTTTCTACGATATTAATGTTAATGTCAATTCAACATCTTTTTTTTTAGTCAAAATAGTGGGCAAGGAAAACGATTACAAGTGATCTGTCTATTCAGTATCTGTCTAGTCAGTTCTATATTCACTGTCTTATCATAATGTATTCAAATTTATTATACTGTACCAGATCTTAAAGTTTATTATATAATTTATTTTATTGTGTGACTTTTCTTTACTTACCTTTAAAATTATGATGCAACACAGAGAAACATCGTGAGTGGTTCTGATGATTTATAACTCCGGACGTGACACATCGCGAAATTGATCTAAATGAAGAAAACATCTTTCTAAAAAATAAATAAATCGATCAGACTTGTGTCGCGTAAGCAGGCGAAACGCTCACTAAACTCTGTATCAAAGCAGACTCTAATAAAAACCAAATCCTTATCTCGTATTCGTAACCATATTATCTGTTCTTAATCATTTCTCTTCAGTGCATTTAAAATACTGCAACAACATTAATTTTACGATTTTTAAAAATACTTTCTTAATTTAATTTAAGAAATGTTTTATACAATATCAGACATTTGTATAAAGACAAATCTCTCATAGAAAAATGCACTATAAAATTTTCTCATTTCAAATACAGCACAAAATTTTCGCACTCACTATAAAAGCATCTGCCTATAACGGAACAATAATTTAAGTATTACAAACATAACAAACATGACCTATAAATTATTAATTTTTTAAACTTTAACTTCTATTAGCATGTTACAAATAAGTTATTATAATACAATATCGATCTTTTAGCATTATATTATATTAGCACAATATTATATATCAGATCATTTCCTTTCTGTCAATCTTATCTATTTTCTCTTTTTTTCAATCTTATCAAACTTTTTTTCCTATCTATCAGACACACAAACACAAACATACACCCACACAAGTGAACGCGCACTGAGACAATTGTGGAATAAATTACGAAATACTGCCTGGTGATTTAATGCGTTCAGCGCTGAATATATCGCGAACAGAAACAACTGAACAGAGACGGACCACTGCAATGCGGGGAACGCTTTCATGTAAACTGATGTAATTGTCAACGTGTATTGTTAGTAAGATGTTCGTAATACAGGATGGCCAATATATAACTGACTGGTTTGTATGAGCTGCCATCTTAAATGTATGCGTTTCTGTCAGTTGCACTTGCTTGACGTAACTTACGTAAAGTTACAGTTATTGACTGACGACTAATTATTTTGATAAAACATTTTCACAATGCTTACACACTGTTGTATTGTGTACCCTGGTAAAAATTATCGTTAGAGACCGTTAGAAATGGAAAGAATCGCATAGTAAAACGGCCGTTTCTGACTGTTTTACTATGCGTTTCTTTCCATTTCTAACGGTTTTTAACGGTAATTTTTACCAGGGTAACGCTCCATAATTAATTTGCTGCAGGTGCTCTCAACTGTCGAAGCGCAACTGATAAGAACACATGTATCCAAAGCTGCGTCCCAATATTCACTACCAGTACTAAAAATGTTTAACGTACGTGACGTAAACAATGAATATCGGAACGCAGCTTAAAATGGCAGCTTATTCAAATCAGTTACACATTGCCCACTCTGTACATTGATAATGCAACAGAGCGAATGTGAATGCGATGATATTAACACAAATTTACATCAGCAACATTATTGATATCTCACTAACTGACTCTATCCAGTTTTTCATCCAGAGCCAATGTCACGTTATTTATGTGAGCAGAGAACGCAATGAACGCATACTAATAAGTTATACATTGCGACTGATGTTGCTCTTGTTCTTATCGCCTTGGAATTGCAATTCAAATAGTGTCGTATCATTGCGAGATAGTTAGCAATTTAAATAGCGTTAAGTACTTTTTTCTTGCTCAAGTATTTCTTTCTCAATCATTGCGATTGGCTATGCTAAGCGCAACGATTGAGAAAGAAAGAAATACTTAAACGCTATTTTTAAACAAGGCGATTCTTTAAATTTACGTTTACTTTCAATCATCCATGAGAGATAAATCGATGCGAGAAGCTTGTATCTGCACATATTGTATAAGCTATATGATCTACAATTCTTCTGTAAATATTCAAATAAAAATATGTTTTTTAGAATTTTAAATTTCGGAACGTAAGTTGAATACTTTTCTCAATAATTATGATACTTTATGGAAGGAATTTCTTAGATTTTTTTACTTCTTTAATATTCTTACATTGCTTACATTACTTATAAAAATATCTCGAGATATTTGTCAAACGTTCCCTGATCTTTTACACAGCTAATTGGCTTGTAGGCGTTATTTAACGTCATCTGTGTTTCTTATCACGCGACTCTTATTTTTCAGCACGCCGAACGTATACGTACTACCGGAAGAAAAAGAACATATCGAGAGAGCGAAAAATAGAGACCACGCACGAGCGAGGTCCTTAGGTCTTGGGCGAGAGAAAGCGAAGAGGAATGAGGGACGTTATTCAGAGCCGTGGCAGAGTCCGGTGGATTCAAGATAGACGGATAGCGTGCCTGCCGGGCTGGTCCGGAAGTCGCGTGTCGACGGCAGCCATAACAGCCCCTCCGCGACTCTCACCCTTCCCACCACCTCCTGCTTGATTTCCTTAGCTGCTACCAGCGACGACCAGCACGGCCTACCACGAATTTGCGCCTGTGTACGTGAAAAGCAATCCGTGCAGGTCGAGGGTGAAGGAGTATTAGTGCAACATTACCCTAACGAACCGCGAGAACGAGTCGGCGATTGGTCGATCCTGCCGAGCGAGCGAGGCCCGAAGGGAAGCAACCCTCTCTCTTCTTCTCAACTCAACTCTGGATTAGTCTGGATTACATACCGTCTTCAGAATCGCCAGGCAGACCGTGCCGTTAACACCCGTTCGGTGCCGTTAATTTTCACTCGACATAATTGGCTGAGTAATAAAATTAACAGTGCGTCAACTGCAAGGACCTTTCGCTTGTGTCAAGACGATAGCTCTCATACGAAAGCGCGAAATAAATCTAACAGAATTATTAGAAGCGTCGTTACGTTCAAGGCATTAATCTCTTCTTGTGACATTTACGCTTGTAGAAATATTCAAAGATTCATCGAACATTGAACCATAATCACAAAATTTACCGAATTCTGAGTGACACAATATCATCCAAAATATTGTACAAATATTACAAATGCTATGATAAGATTAATACCTTAAACATAAAGACGCTTCCAGTGACTTCCGTTAACTTACTTCGCGTTTTCTATGAAAATCGTCTTGAATGTTTCAAACGTATCATTCCGATGATACATTTGAAGCATATATTCTTCGTACTTATTGTAAATATACATCGATTCTACAAATAATTGTTTTTTTTCCTGTAAAATAAAGCTGTTTCATTTTTCGTTAGCTCTTAAAATCGTTCAAAACCGTTTAAACGTGAGCGTCGTCGTATCTTCCATCCTGCCAAGTGTACGTCGTGCCAGACGAGAAGATATCTACCCGATGGCCGATACAATTTCTCGCTGTTCCATGTGTCATTAACGGTGTGCAATTCTGAACGAGAGCGAGTCACTCGAGCGAATCATGCTCGCGTTCCACGCGGAGGGATCGTACGTAGCATAGCATGAGCAGTAACAAGAAACCACCGGGAGGCAAGGACGACAAGAAGAATCCCTCCAGCAAAGAGGACAGCCCGTCGGGTGGTAAGGATGATGGTGGTTCAGCCTCGACGGGAAGCAATGGCGGTGTTGCGGCCGCAGGAGAGCCGTCGCAGCCCGGAAGTAAGCCTAGCTCCGCCGGCGCGACCGCCAGAGAAGGGGCCCAGAGGCTGCTGGGCCTGGCGGCGCGCGGGGAATGGGCCCCCGTGGACCAACTGCTCAAGTCCCTGGAGAAGACGGTACAGAGCGCGGGGGACGATGGCTTCATCGTGCCGCTCGCCGGTGTTTTGGACACGGTCAGTTTTGTTTGTATGATTCTTTTACCGAAGAGTCTCTGACACGAAAGAAATCAATGCGTAATATTTTTAAAAATCTTCTTAACGTTTCCATGGACGAAATAAGTCGCGGAATATACTTGCGGGAATACTTTAATAGAAAAATGTTTAACAATAATAATAAGAAACAGGACCGATTTGATGTACAATCAATTTAGAGAAAAGGCCATTTACGATCAGGACTGGGGTCTTGATTACGTAATAATATTACTCGCGTGAATTTATGTAAGGAAAATTTTAGATGGATGTTAGATACTCGGAACAATCGTAAAAAGATCGCACGACAAACTTATTTTCCTAGGCAAAGATTTTTTTATTTGCAGACGACGGGGATGACGCCGTTGATGTACGCAGTGAAAGATAACCGCAGTGCGCTGCTCGATCGGATGATCGACCTCGGATCCGACGTGAGCGCCAGAAACAATGCAAGTATTCCGTGATAAATAAGATAAATCGCTCATTAGACTGAGATCGATCTTGAGCTTTGATAAAATTTAAGAAAACATTAATTACTCTGTTGCACTAAGAATCATGTCGCATCAGACGTGACCGGATGAATTTTTCGAGATATTCCACTTAAAACCGAAGGAAAAAATGTTTGATTCATCATTCTTTGATTCATTGCCGTCGCGATAAGTTCTCGTGCTGGGGTTACGTGGCGCTGGCACGTAATAGCACCTGCGAAGGTGACGCGTGCCACGAAAGGCGTACAGCTAATGATCAGGCCGCAATCTGTGCTAAGTCGAGTCACCTAACATATAAGTCGGGAGGGGACGATTGCGTGAAGGAGAGCCAAGGTCAAGGGGCTTATGCTTACTGACCGACTGGACAAAGACGGGCACACGTGTAAATGAATAAGTAGGCCACCGAGTCAGCTAAACTATCAGCCGCAACGAAAAAGGGATCCGATCCTTAGAGTAGATTAAAGTTTGATCGTTAAACCTTTAAAAAGCTGCCCGCAAACGGGCTTTTTGCGCTTGACATTCTGGACAGGGGTTCAATTATGTAGCGCGCTTGGTGTAACCTTCTGAAAGTCATTGGGAACGCCACTGCAAGAACTGTATAGTAAAATTTATTGATTTCGAATGCCCTACGCGTCGGGACAAAGAAGGGAGAAGGAGAAGAATGATGATCGCGTTATTTAAAATTTCCGGTGTAGGCTGTAACGTATGTCGTATATAATCATTAACGAGTAAGTTATGAATAAGAGAAATTATTATTATCAATAAGAGATGTAATTATTATTACCAGTGCGCGCGAAGGTGGGCTTTCTGCATATGATGATGACGTTGTTCCTTTTGCTTATGTAGGTACTACTGAACGGCGTGCCGTTAACTATGTTAGAGCATCACTTTGCAAACACGTGCAAGGCGTTGCAATACTCCCTACTATCGATCTACCGCTCCCACAATGATTCCAATATAATTTTCAAATAGCATGCTGATACGCCGTGATCAGAAACCTGAAACCTGAAACATCATAAGGGTCAGCCTGACGGGTGCGGCAGGACGAAACTCATGGCTCCATTACCGCTTTACTTATTTCCATAACACTCTTCTCGTACATTAACTACTACTAATCCGATGAAAATCGAATGAAAGGAATTTAGGGCGACCACATAATTTGCTAGTTCAAGATTATCGGATAAATTGAGCGAGGTTTTCGAATAGACGTTCGAGATAGACGCGTACAAAATGCATTTCATTGACACATTTTCTACAGGACAATTACAATGCTCTCCACATCGCTGCTATGTATTCGAGGGAGGATGTTGTTAAGTTATTGCTGTCCAAGAGAGGCGTTGATCCCTATGCCACTGGAGGGGTACGAATAATTTTATTCTCGTAAAAAAATTGATAGCAGTTCCAAAACCAAATTGATAATTTTGACTCTTGATATTTTTTAGAAAATAGTTTTACTTCGGATTGCTGCAAAAGATTTAATTCTGTCTAGACAGATTCTCTGACCAATTTCAATTTACATTTTTTTAGCTATTTTACTTGGTCTCGATTTTGGTATTAAAATCACGAGACAAATTATAGATGCAAATTATCGCGAGTGCTAGAATCGACATTAAACAATCTATTTAAATTACTCTATTTAATAAACATCGGCAGATAAATTTCTTGAAATATATTTATGTATTGTGCTTAGCCGAGACAACAAACGGCAGTTCATCTGGTGGCATCAAGACAAACGGGCACCGCGACGTCGATTCTACGAGCTCTCCTGGGTGCTGCCGGACGAG